CAACCCGTCGTGCAATCCATGGCGTCGGAGGATCGTCAACAAGCTTTAAGAAAAGGCGAACCAACATGCTAGACAATTCAAACTTCTCACCACTTGTGCGGTGTCAGGATGCGATCAATGATGGAGACGCCTATGCCCAAGCCGCCCGCGTTCATCTTCCTCACACGTTCACATTCTTATTACACTTGCTAGCTGATGTCAATGTCACATAAGGAGTGAAATGAAGGATGCGCTGCAGGACGGTTCCCTCAATCTTAGCGTCGCCCAGGCGGGCGTGATGTCAGACAGGATCACGTGTGCTTGGAAGTAAATGCAAACGCACGCTGCCGTAAAGGCTTCCAGCAACCCGTCGTGCAATCGGTGGCGTCGGAGGATCGTCAAGTAGCTTTAAGAAAAGGCGAACCAACATGCTAGACAAACTTCTCGCCACTTGTGCGGTGTCAGGACGCGATCACTGACGGAGACGCCCATGTCCCAGCCAGCAGACAGCAAAGACGTGTGGGCACGTCGCTTAGGAATGACCGTTGATGAGCCGTGGAAGAAACGTATTCTCGGAGCATTTATGGCAGACTTGGAAAACCATTGTGGGGAAGTGCCTGAGCCGCGGACATTGCCTCCCTTGCTATCAGACCAACAGAGAGAGACTTGTCCCCGAATTTGTCTTGTCGTCCGTCGGCTACTGTCATGGGTGAGTGAATGGCCGACACGGAGAAATGCACTGATCCTCTGACAATAGACGCAACTGGTGCAAGGAGTGGGCTCTATTCCGAGCAGAAGTTGCTCAACAAAAGGCCAAGGTGCTTTTGGCAGTCTTCACAGTAACTTTGCTATCACGCACGTTAAAGTTCGTGCGTTCGTTGCTGCAGTAGAAACAGCTGAAGGAAGTAAGCGAAAAAGAACGTCTTCGCTCAGAAAAGCAGGCCCGCTGCTAGACACTAGTGCGCTTGACTTGAACTCTTTTTCATAGTCAGCAAATACGTTGTTTCTGCACATTGCTTAGCAGGCTAAGTCTCGTCTGGAGGAGCGCGGAGATAAGGCTCGAAGTGAAAAAAGGTCAAAGTTTAAGATCAAGACTTGTTCTTGTGAATGCTTGAAGTGGATGTGACGATTGTCGCGCAAGTCACGCAAGACTTGAATCACTAGTCTATCATCGGTGCCCGTGAGGTTGTCATCCTTCCTCCGGACGGAGCGTTCCAAACGCTATTTCTTCCTCAAGCGTCGCATCTGGAACAGTTCACCAAGGATTGGAACTACGTCCTCATTCGCCGCAAGAATGCAGCTTTTTTGCCAGAAGCGTTTGCGAACGCACCGCCGGAGGACGGCTACTCCATGCACCCGCAGTCACCTTTACTTTCAAAATTTGGTTTTGGTGCAGAGCATGCGCGGGCAGATTGTTTGGTTTATTTGCCCGCATATCGTGTCGCGTGCTGGGGTCTTTCCCCAAAGGATGCGAATGCGTTGGCGCATGAATTTGTCATGCTCCTCGAGAACGCCGTGGCTCAAGATGTCCAAGGAGGATCGTCCCTGCAGATGTACTGGAGAATGTTTGATGGGTTCATTGTCCAAGAAGACGCGTTGCGTCGACACTATCTACCGGTCAATAGAAGCTTACAGAGCATGGCCAGAAGCTTTTTGACGGTCAAGAACGCAGCTTCTTTTTTTGTTCACGGGCCAGGACGCTTTTTGTCGTCGCAAAGCTTTTGGGAGTTTGTGCGAACGTTCCCCGTCGACTTGCAGTGGGAGATTTGCCTGGCGCTAGGCGAGAACAAACTTCTGGTTTGTGCTTTGCCCGTCGCCGTGGCAGAGCCAGGCGTGTCTGGCCACTTGGTGCATCCACCGTTGGAGGATGTGGAGCTTGCGCTCTTGTCTCTAAGCCTTCCGCTTCGACAACAGCTACTTCACTATCTAGACTTGTGGGATTTGGCTCGTGCTGTTTCAACGTGCGCGGAGTTGCAAGATGTTATCATGAACAGCGACTCTTGGAAATGTGACAGCACGCTTTATCTACGAAGTTTGCCTTCGCAAATATTCTTTGCTGCGTCGCCGACGTACCACTTGAATCCAACGGCGTACGCGAGTCTGCGCTCCGTGAATCCACTGCAAGGTCACGCTTGCATTGTCATGTCGTGGGGTTGCCAGGTTGACGCACTTGTGATCGGTGTCACGAACGCATTCGTTTCCAGAATGTCAGACGCGGAAGTTCAACACCTTTGCTCTTGTACAATCACTGCTCCTTTTCAAACAGAATGCAAAACCTGCATTAGGTGGACGGCTTCTAAGCAACCGCCAATAGACGTATCATGTCCTTTCCTGGTTGCAGATCGATGTGTGCGTGTCTTGGATCTAGCTTGGCAGCAGCATTCGCTCAGACTCAAGGTTGATGGTCGAATGGTGCGTTCTGTCGACATTTCATGTGTTGGCTTGCAGCGCGATGCCTATGTCTTCCTATACTCTATCGGAGAACAAGTGTGCAAGGACAACTTGCAGATGGCCTTCGCAGAACGCCGACGTGAGCATGTCAATGACCTTGCAGGGGGCTCCGATGCGTTGAAGCCGACAGATCCTCTGTCGTGTTTGTCGCAGAGTCTCCAAAGGGAAGTCATTATCAACATTGCCACGACACGCGAGCTGCTGTGCTTGCGAGCTTGCAGCAAATCTGCGTCTGAACTTCTGCGAGAGGATTCACTGCTGCGAGGCTCCGTAGTCGACTTGCGAGACGCAGGTGCGCAAGCATTTCGGCCCGGAAGTGCTTTTAGTTTTTTGATGGCTGTCCTTGCTCAAGCAAAGGTCATCAAGCTGCAGTATCGACACATACATGCTGTCCCGCCGACTTCAACGTCCAGAGTCCTCCTTGAATGGTCAGGACACACTTTCCTTCGGCGCGAAAGCGACTTTTGTTCTTGGCGCGCTCTGCATCCTGTTTATCAGCGTGCCAGCTTGGACATTGCAGTGTCTTCAGATATTCGCACTTTGGTCCTTGGCATCAAGAACCTAGTTCGAAACAGCCCGCCCTCTTCCCGAATGTGGGCTTCTATACAAAATCCATTCGGCTCAGACCCTTTACTAGCAACTCCAGGGGAGGAAACGTTGACTCCATGCGATATACCTCCGCACAGAGGTGTTCGCTGGCTTAACGTTTGCATGGAGTGGAATGCAACCTATTTCGCAGTCTTTCTCGACGATGTCCCACTATGCCACGTTGACACGCCAGTTGACGAACGCGTTATTTCAAGTTGGGCTTATCCTTATGTCGTGTCGTGGGCACCTCGCGAGTCTTCTCCTCTAGTAGTGATAACAACAGCATTTTCGCGACCGGAAAATACGGCAAACCCTGATTGTACAATTTGCGCTTCACTTCATCGCGGTCGGCCAGCGCACGCATGCTGTCTTGCTTGTCAACACTGGTTTTGCGAAGAGCATGGTTTCTCTACAACTGCAGCGCAAGTATGTTTGGGCTGTATGGATGAGCTTCACTTTGAAGACCACGTAGGTGGAACGAGTGGTTCTCCGTCTGCAACATTTCTCGATACAAAAAGATTGCAAGCCCTGCGAAAGCAACAGCTTTGCATACCTTCCAGTCCAGGTGCGGCTGTGTCTCTAGCCAATAAACTACTACAAACTGAAATCCGCTTGAGGTCACGAAGCCCAGCAAGGCGCGCGAGAAGCTTCAACAAGCTGTGTCGAAGGTCCGAAGTGCATGTATCCGAACCAGAGTCTGACGAATGGGACTACAATGAGCATGTGCTTCGCGCGAAGAAAGTCTTGGCCAGCACGGAGTTCTCCACTTTTCCAGCCACGTCGCCTCCGCCAGGATTAACATCTCTGTGTGATCATGGGCTGGAAAACCTTTTGCCGCCGCAAATCCGGCTGTCGAGTTTGCCCAGGCCAGTGCTGACATGCACGCCTGTGATTTTTGATGTGGAGCATCTCAAAGTACCTCCTATCTTTGATCATCTCAGTATCTTGCACAGTCATGAGCGTGATCAACATTTGGTCTTCCAAGAGGAAGGGCATCGCTACTATTGGAAGAATGAAAGTGTTAACATTTCAGTAACTGGCTTGATTCATTTGCTTACTGGCGGATTTAAAGAGCAAGACGTCATCAGGAGCATGCGTCAAGGGAGTAATTGGCCTCGTGCTGCATACGTGAAGCCGTATGCATCGCTGGAGCTTCTGCAGATTCTGCAACAAATTCCCGGCACGGAACAACTGGTCAGTTTGTTGCAACAGCTGCCGCATGATCGCGCTGCAGTTGCCAATCTCGTTCGGTCCATGATTTATTCCGATGCCGTCTACAACGAACTGGCGGATATCGTTTCTATGACTTCCTCAGAAATATGCCACCTTTGGGCGCAAGCACGCCGCGTTGGTGCGGCGCGAGGAACTTGGATGCATGCGCAGATAGAATGTCTGCTTAATGGCGGCTGTGTCACTTCTTGCAGCTTGGAGGTAGCAAAGTTTTTGCGGTTTGTCGCTGAGGGCGGATTCGGGAACAATTCTGCGTTTCGCACCGAATGGAAGATATACGCTTCTGAAGAATCTCTTGCAGGCTCAATAGATTTTGTGGCACGTGCGCCCGATGGCGCTCTGGTCTTGTTTGACTGGAAGCGTGCTAACAAGTTGTGTGAGAAGCACAACTCGTTCGGCAAGTTCATGAAGTCGCCCATGCACCATGTCCCGGATGCATCGCTCTGGCATTACCGACTGCAACTTAATCTGTACAAATTCATCTTGGAGAGATATTACAACCTGCGTGTCGTTGGAATGCATATCGTGTCTTTCCATCCCGACAGTAGCACATTTGTTGACAAGGTCCCGGACATGCAAGCGGAGGCAAATGCTATCATGACATATCAGCGAAACCGTTTGGCAAACCAAGCTGGTGAAAAAGAGAGAGATTTCCGTGGAGGGGCAGCGGCGCCCAGTCAAGCCAGTGAGGCGGACTCCTTCACGCAACGCATCGAGCAGGAGTTTGAGGATGCACTTGTACCGTCACCTGAGTGTTGCAGGGTGGATTCAAGTGGGCGGCGCGACCATGTCGCCAAAATTCTTGAGATTGACGACGCATTTTTGCTGAACGGTGTTGTTCCAGACCTTCCGCAGTCGCAACAAGGCAGTATTCTCCATGACATCCAAGAAGTTCAAGAACTTGTTGCCGCGCATTCTGACTCTTCCTCGTGGCCGGAGCCCCTCCAGCATGTTGTGCAAGGAGCTATCTCTGTGCATCGCTTGCGTTTACTGGACATCTCACGTCGAGAGGAAGTTCTTTTTCTTGAGCTTATTGAGGGAAGTTCTCGACATGTGCGAGCTCATAACGGCCAGTGTTTCTTTCTGAGTGAACATGGCCACTGGGCCGTGTACAACGGCGTTATTCCTCAGGGTGTCCTTGCCAGATGCAAAAAGTTTTTGCTCTTCCTTGAAGGTTTGTACAGACTCCTACCGACTGGAACACTGCGCACCCCGGACTCTATCATCCGAGCAGTATCAGTCTTGTTGCAGGGTCGGAACGACAACGCAGATTTCCTTCTTCAAGAATGCGAAAGAGCTGCTATTTGCGGTAATCCTCACGCTGCGAAGCGCCGCAAAACAAGGGCGGACGTGGAAAATGAAAACCGGGATGATTCAGAGGATGAGAACAAGCCATGGACACAGGTCATGGCGAGCACTGTTGGAAAGCTGTACGTCAAACTGTATCTTAGCTGCACGTCATTTCGCTGGCAACTTCGTAAGTGAAACACTGTACATTCCACATCAGTCTCTGCTAAGGCAAACCTCACTGCTGCAAGACTATTTGATTAAGTACTATGTGTAGTGGTGTTCTATTGATGATCCTCGACAGGCTGGATTTTGCACTTTAGATGCCTGCCTGGTCTTTGAGAAAGAGAAAGGCTTGCAGCAATTGCAGAAGGCCGGCTCGAACAACATATACACTTTCCTGCCACACCGGCTGCTGGATCCGGTGCCTGACGATGTCAAGCAGCGAGTCCAACATTTCTGGTACACAACTTATTGGAACAATGGAGAAGCCTTTGACTGTTTTATGTCAGCACTAACTCTAGCTATTCGAGGAGAAAACGTTGATCGAGCCTTCTGGGGAATTGGCTCTGGTGGGGTGGGGCAGAGCCTGCAGACCGCGCACTTGGAAGCAATTCTCGGGAGTTTTCACGCGTGCTTGGACATGAATATTTATTATTCTGACGAGGAGATGCGCAAGCAGGCTGCGTCACTTCTAGGAAAACTTGTCGTTACTGGCCAGGAGTCGGTGCAAGGCAGCCGTAGAGGCATGCGTGAGGACGTGTACAAGAAGCACATGTCGGCAGACAAGCTTCCTGAAAGATTGCCATACGCAATCGAGACACGACTTGTGGAGCTCCGTGGTTGGAAGCGGTTCGAGTTTAACATGTTGCCGAGGTCACTTGCCTGCAAGTTAGTGGTCACACTGTTTTCTGAACTGTCGACCCACACCTTCAAGCATGAACCTCACCAGCAAAGGTTCTTTGGCATCAGCGAAGAGACTTTCAACTCCTTATTTCGACGATCGTTAGCTGTGCGCTACAAGGCTTTGTTCTTGGAGTTGAAGGACACAACGAACCAAGTGAAAGAGCCAGAGAAGAAAGGCATTTTTCCTAAAGATCCGACGTTGAAAGACTTTCTGCGATCGAAACCTGCGTGTCTCGTCACTCTGAGAGCTGTGTGGAATTACGCTTGCAGACACAGCGCCGCAGACTGCAGAAGCTGCCTGGAGGACTATGTTGTCGGTAAGAAGGATGAGGGTCTCACAGAAGCGTGTGTCCGGGAAGCGTGTGGACTCAAACCTCCTGACACGTCAGAAAACCGGGACAGTTCTCGGCTTCCCGGCTCGGTGACGAGCGATCTACCTGAAACAGACGGCGCAGGCCAGGAAGTAGATCCAGAAGTCTTACGGCTCTTACAACAACAGGCAGATGAGATTGAGGCTTGGATGATCGATGTCAATAAAGACTGGTGCACGCCTTCCCAGATAAAAACGGTCAAGGGCAAACATTTTTGGAAAGCGTTTAGTCGTCAAGATGCAGAGAACATTCTCAAAGCGCTGGCTGACAACAAGCTCATGCTCCAAAGCACTTTGACTCTTCAAAAACAAGGTCTTACCGAGATCTTTGCGCCGCAAATCCACACAGAGAAGTCCATGAAGGAGGTGGTCAATATGGATCATCACAGCTGCACAGTTTTCCCAGAAGTTTACGACTGTGAGGCATTGCGCCAACACATGCTCGAACACAAAGGACGTCTTGCAAATGACAAAGTTTTGCTGCAAGCCCATAAAAAAAGGTTGAACGACTTGAAGAAAAGCAAAGCCAGCGGTGCAGGTGCACCTACAAAAGTACAACGTACAGTCCAGGAGAATCAAGAAAACATGATACAGACAATGGGCGCCCGCCTTCGCATGGAGCAACAACTTTTCGATGACATGCAGAAGTGTGTGGAACAAGATGTGGAACTATTAGAGATGGTTATGCAGCGTACCTATTCGTACAAGCTTCAACACCGCTGTCGGCGCATGGTGGATGGGTTCGGCGCGCAAAGTTTCTCAAGGGTTTTTCGCAATATTGTTTGCAAGAACACACGGGATTTCGATTTCCACGCAAGCATGTTCACCATCGTGGTTCAGATGGTTGACAAACTCGGCGTGGCCTATCATAAAACACTGAAAGACTTAGCAGCTTGGCGTGCTGTGGCTAAGACTAGAGAGAAGGTTTGCGCAGAGATCCTGCAGTGCAGCCAGACCAGAGGAAAAGCTCTTCTTCTTCAGGTAGCTTGCGGTCGAGCTCTGTCCTCAGCCGATGATATTTGCGAGACTGGTCAGAAATTTTTGCATGATCTATCTAAAGAAAGCCGCTGCTTGCGTTGGCTTGCTCGGAGTCAGTGTCCAGATCTTTACCTGAGCGCGAAAGATGGTGCTGCCGCTCTAAAGCAAAGCAGTTGGCCAGAAGCAACGGTCTTTGCTTATTGGTGGAACGCTGCAGAAGACCTTTGTCTGAGCAGCATCTTGGATCTAGTTGCAGATGTTGAGGTGTCGCGCAAGCACATTTCCTTACACTTCGATGGTGTTCTACTGTCGACTGAGATTGTGCAGGCTGTCCAAGAAAAAAACGACATGAAAAGCTTTCCTCTTGTAGCAGAAGCCGCAATTTTCGAACGCACTGGCTTTCAGATCACCATTACTGAAAAGCGTTTCAGGTCACTGGCGCAAAGGTTGTCGGAGTTAGAAGGCACGTCTCTGCGTGTGGACGCTGCTGATGAGACAATGTTGACGCTACTCTCATCGCCTGGTAACTGCATACCTTTCGCGTACGCCTGTGTGACACAAGCCTGGCGTTTTGTGGAGGAGGCATTGCGGACAGTCAACCAAGCGAACACTCGCGCAGAGCAAGGTGGCTACAGATGCTACAAGGACTGGACAAAATGCAATCAGCGCTTCCTTCGGCCATGCTTTACGCTGCCTTCACTGCCAGGAACGGATTTTCTTGTGCACGCTAACGTTGGCAGTGCCCCGCAATGCTTTGGTGCGAAAGTCCTACCAGATAAGCAACTTCAAGTCTTCCACGAGCGCAAAGTGTACATGATGCCTGCTCCTGCCTTGCAGGAAATTCTTGATGAGTCTTGCGAAGCATGCAGCATTGTCTTTTTCTGTGTCCAAAGTACGGAGCCAACAGCAGTTGCTGGAGAGCAGCAGCTGCTGGATCTTGTCGCAGGCGCCAGTTCGAAGGATCGGATGGATTCTCAAGCTGGAGCTTCAGGGGCCGGTAGCGAAGCGACCGAAGCCGACGTTCAGGTTGGAATGCATCTACGAGAGCTCCTCAAAGATGAAGTCAAGAACCTCATTGCGAAAGTTCAACAGAACAAAGGATCAAGCTTCGGGTCGCAGGTCTGCCCTTTATGCCCATGGCGACGCTTCGATAAAAGAAGTTATTTGCTGACACATCTCACAAAACATCACAGCGAAAGCAAGCGCTTCGTGGCATCCGGTACGAAGCAGCTTCGCATTATTGCTGCCATGTACGATGACGATGCTGCGCGCAAGGCTGTTCATGGTAACTATATTCAACGTGCAGCCGAGCTTCTCAGGTGTCAAGTCAAGCCTGGTTGTTCTTCGAAAAGAAACATTATCGACAAGGAGATACGTATGTGCTTGAGCGCGAAGGGTCCATACTTTATGTCCTTGTCGAAAATCAAGGCAGCGAAGGATTTGCGACGCGTTGGCAATGTATATTACAACCAAGGATTTGCGAATGAATTTATGTGCAACGCCGTGGCCAGCCGCGCGTCCTTTCGACAGATTGCAGCAGCTTTCACATCCTCTTCTGCGCGCGACCACGGGGCATTGTGTTCTATGTTGCCAGAAGCAAGCCATTCATTCTGGTGCAACGTGTTGGAGGACATAGTCCAATCACCACAGATCAAATCCAGAGTTCAAACGCTTTTACAAGAATGCGAAGATCATACGGAGTTCCAGTACTTGAGCATTGACGCGACTGTGAAATGCATCTTGGTTCTCTTCTGGTTGGCTCTTAGGACTTTAACTTTTTTGGGCATGGTGGGAACTACAATAAGGAGCCTAAAAGTTAAACTTTTAGGAGGGGTTCAGAAGTCATGCAAGGCATGATGAAAGTTATTGGTCAGGCGCATTTCAACAGCAGTCAAGACGTGCGTGACGCTGCAGCCATTACAGATTCCGAAGCTGCCTACAAACTTCTAACGGTTCGCGGACGAACGAATGCTGTAGTCGGCCTGTGCGGCGTTCGATCAGAAGGCTCCCCAGTGATTTCGACTGCCTTAGCCAGTCTATTGTCACCGTCCCAACGAGCGCAAGTTATTCACATTGCTTCCGATGCACCGAGCGTCGAGCTTTTAGCGACACTCAAGAATACGTTTTCGAATCTACAATCCCTTGGTTTGGATGCGATGCATATCGTGATGGTTTACGAGCAGAACTTCAGCAACAAGAAAACCACAGGCAGCAGATGGTTAGCTACCGTGATGAATAAGTTTCGCAATATACAGGCAGGATGCCCGGCAGCTGCCTGGGGACCTATGTACACTGGACAGCAGAAGCCTTCTTACACAGCTGAAGAAAAGAGACTGTCGGCGTTGATTTCTGACGCAAGTATGCCTGAGGCTGAAGCAGTACACGTGCTGCAGAACTTGGACCCCGACAGTCCTTGGCGAACAGAAGCACAATTCCTGGAAGCCATGGCTGCTATATGTGCTTTGTTTCAGGACGAACTCACAAAAACCACTTTCTCGGGCCCAACGTTACATCGTCTTCTGATTAATCTTACATCTCCAGTGAAAATCCAGTGGCTCTTCAACGACACCCGATATCGGCATGTCTGTTTGCCTTCTCAGACACCGTTGCTGCCTAGCGGTACGACATCTAATGAGTCACTTCATCACGAGCTGAATAGCTGGTTTCATGAGATTGTTTCTCGGTGAAAATTTTGCATTTTTCTCTTTATTCATCGCGACAGAGCTTAGAATAGTTCTTTGTCTGATAAACAAGTGAGAACTCAGGTGGCTATGCATCGCTCCACGCTAGAAACCAAGCTTCTTTTCTTTCAATTCGTGAAACTTGGTAGCCATAATATGTCATTGTACCATCCTTTGCAACGCCAAAATACACAGAAGCAAATAGCGCATCGTCTGATTGGCATGGCGGACATATGGGATGCCACCACCTGGAAGAAATGGTGTGCCGATCTGAAACAACATGAGCGTATGCCGAAAAAAGCATTGCTTGCTGGCGCAGAGCAGCGCAAGGCTACTCGGGCAGCAGTCAAGGCTACTCAAGCACGTGTCAAGGCAGCGCCAAAACCGCTTCCGAATATTCTTAAGCGGCCTAGCGCCGCAATTCCTCCGCCGCCGAAAAGGCAGCGAACGAGACGCCATCCCTTTGCACTCCGCGTCGTAGCGCCTTTGATTCGCCCAGGACGCCACAAGACCCGTGTGCCAACAGCATGCCAGTAAGGTGGCTGCGTTGCACTTAACTTTGTTTCAGGTCAGATACTTTTTGTACAGTGTACAGGACGCATTGCGTGCGAGAGTCTGAGAGTCTGAGATTGCGAAGCCAAAACATTTTTATTCCGACATGCCCGTCTGAGTGCAAAACATGTAGGCCATTCATTCCTGAGGATGCAGGTCATCAAGTCAATTCTAAAACGGTTCCCCGCCCTCTGCTTAGGCTGGGGGTGGCAACAGGAACGCAGCGGTAACGTACGTGTGAATGCACGGTTAAGGTTTGGAATCACGGTTAAAATTTAGGATGTCGGTTATCGATTCCTTAGGATGCAGGTCGTCGCTGCCCCCGACATCGCCTGACAAGGATAATATGATTTATCGCCTTCCTCTAGGCTCAGCGGCTGGGAGCGGCAACCAGGGCGCGGCGGTAGCGCGCGTGGGAATGCACAGTCAAGGTTTAGAATCAGGGTTAGAGTTTAGGATGTAGGTCATCCATTCCTGAGGATGCAGGTCATCGAGCAATTTCTGAAACGGTTCCCCGGGGTGGCAACCGGGGCTCGTCGGCAGTGTGCGTGTGAACGCACGGTAAAGGTTTGGAATCAGGATTAGAGTTTAGGATGCGTGTCATCGATTCCTTGGGATGCAGGTCATCGAGTTTAGGCCCAAATTAGCATCACGTAATATTATTCCAGCACATATACTGCTGCAGTTCTGCGTCCGAAAAGGGAAATTCTGCATCGGTTTCCGGGACACGTCGGTAGACTGCGTGCAAATCAACGGTTAAAGTTTAAATGAGAGTGTTTAGGATGCAGGCCACTGTCCTTAGGGTGCAGGTCATCGCTGCGCCCAAAAAGGGAAATTCTAAAACGGTTCCCCGCCCTCCGCGTCCGAAAAAGGAAATTCTGAATCGGTTTCTTACCTTGCGTAGGCCGGGGTGGCAGCTGGGCACGGCCGAAGCGTGCGTGTGCATGCACAGTTAAGGTTTAGAATCAGGGTTAGAGTTTAGGATGTCGGTCATCGATTCCTTAGGATGCAGGTCCTTGCTGTGCCCGAAAAGGGAAATGCTAAAACGGTTCCCCGCCCTCCGGTGAGGCTGGGGGTGGCAACCGGGGCGCGGCCATAGTGTGCGTGTGAATGCACAGCTAAGGTTTGGAATCAGAGTTAGAGTTTAGAAAGCAGGACATCGAGTCCTTAGGATGCAGATCATCGAGTTTAAGCTCAAGCCAGTGCGACGTAATACTTGTCCAGCGCATCTACTGCCGCAGCGCTGCGTCCGAAAAAGACAATTCTGAATCGGTTTCCCACCTTCCGCGTAGGTCATCGCGCGGCGGTAGCGTGCGTGTCAGTGCACAATTAAGGTTTTTAGTCATGGTTAGTGTGTAGGATGCAGGTCATTGGGTCCTTAGGATGCAGGTCATCGATGCGCCCGAAAAGGGAAATTCTAAAACGGTTCCCCGCCCTCCGTTTCGGCTGGGGGTGGCAACCGGGGCGCGGCGGTAGCGTGCGTGTGAGTGCACAGTTAAGGTTTAGAATCATGGTTGGTGTGTAGGACGCAGATCGTTGAGTCCTTATAGGATGCAGGTCATCGCTGCGCCCGAAAAGGGAAATTGTAAAACGGTTCCCCGCCCTCCGCTTCGGCTGGGGGTGGCAACCGGGGCGCGGCGGTAGCGTGCGTGTGAGTGCACAGTTAAGGTTTAGAATCAGGGTTAGTGTGTAGAATGCAGGTCATTGAGTCCTTAGGATGCAGGTCATCGCTGCGCCTGAAAAGGGAACTTCTAAAACGGTTCCCCGCCCTCCGAATCGGCTGGGGGTGGCAACCGGGGCGCGGCGGTAGCGTGCGTGTGAGTGCACAATTAAGGTTTAGCATCAGGGTTAGTGTGTAGGATGCAGGTCATTGAGTCCTTAGGATGCTGGTCATGGCTGCGCCCGGGGCGTGGCGGTAGCGTGCCTGTGAGTGCACACTTAAGGTTTAGAATCAGAATGCAGGTCAGCGGCGGTAGCGTGCCTGTGAGTGCACAATTAAAGTTTAAAATCAGGGTTAGTGTGTAGAACGCAGGTCATTGAGTCAGGTCATCGCTGCGCCCGAAAAGGGAAATTCTAAAACGGTTCCCCGCCCTCCGCTTCCGCTGGGGGTGGCAACCGGGGCGCGGCGGTAGCGTGCCCGTGAGTGCACAATTAAGGCTTAGAATCAGGTTTAGTGTGTAGGATGCAGGTCATTGAGTCCTTAGGATGCAGGTCATCGCTGCGCCCGAAAAGGGAAATTCTAAAACGGTTCCCCGCCCTCCGCTTCGGCTTGGGGTGGCAACCGGGGCGCGGCGGTAGCGTGCGTGTGAGTGCACAATTCAGGTTTAGAATCATGGTTAGTGTGTAGGATGCAGGTCATTGAGTCCTTAGGATGCTGGTCATCGCTGCGCCCGAAAAGGGAAATTCTAAAACGGTTCCCCGCCCTCCGCTTCGGCTGGGGGTGGCAACCGGGGCGCGGCGGTAGCGTGCGTGTGAGTGCAAAATTAAGGTTTAGAATCAGGGTTAGTGTGTAGCATGCAGGTCATTGAGTCCTTAGGATGCAGGTCATCACTGCGCCTGGGGGTGGCAACCGGGGCGCGGCGGTAGCGTGCGTGTGAGTGCACAATTAAGGTTTAGAATCATGGTTAGTGTGTAGGACGCAGGTCATTGAGTCCTTAGGATGCAGGTCATTGCTGCGCCCGAAAAGGGAAATTCTAAAACGGTTCCCCGCCCTCCGCTTCGGCTGGGGGTGGCAACCGGGGCGCGGTGGTAGTGTGCGTGTGAGTGCACAATTAAGGTTTAGAATCAGGGTTAGTGTGTAGAATGCAGGTCCTTGAGTCCTTATAGGATGCAGGTCATCGCTGCGCCCGAAAAGGGAAATTGCAAAACGGTCCCCCGCCCTCCGCTTCGGCTGGGGGTGGCAACCGGGGCGCGGCGGTAGCGTGCGTGTGAGTGCACAGTTAAGGTTTAGAATCAGGGTTAGTGTGTAGAATGCAGGTCATTGAGTCCTTAGGATGCAGGTCATCGCTGCGCCTGAAAAGGGAAATTCCTAAACGGTTCCCCGCCCTCCACTTCGGCTGGGGGTGGCAACCAAGCGTGCGTGTGAGTGCACAATTCAGGTTTAGAATCATGGTTAGTGTGTAGGATGCAGGTCATTGAGTCCTTAGGATGCTGGTCATCGCTGCGCCCGAAAAGGGAAATTCTAAAACGGTTCCCCGCCCTCCGCTTCGGCTGGGGGTGGCAACCGGGGCGCGGCGGTAGCGTGCCTGTGAGTGCAAAATTAAGGTTTAGAATCAGGGTTAGTGTGTAGGATGCAGGTCATTGAGTCCTTAGGATGCAGGTCATCACTGCGCCTGGGGGTGGCAACCGGGGCGCGGCGGTAGCGTGCGTGTGAGTGCACAATTAAGGTTTAGAATCATGGTTAGTGTGTAGGACGCAGGTCATTGAGTCCTTAGGATGCAGGTCATTGCTGCGCCCGAAAAGGGAAATTCTAAAACGGTTCCCCGCCCTCCGCTTCGGCTGGGGGTGGCAACCGGGGCGCGGTGGTAGCGTGCGTGTGAGTGCACAATTAAGGTTTAGAATCAGGGTTAGTGTGTAGAATGCAGGTCATTGGGTCCTTAGGATGCAGGTCATCGATGCGCCCGAAAAGGGAAATTCTAAAACGGTTCCCCGCCCTCCGCTTCGGCTGGGGGTGGCAACCGGGGCGCGGCGGTAGCGTGCCTGTGAGTGCAAAATTAAAGTTTAGAAGCAGGGTTAGTGTGTAGGATGCAGGTCATTGAGTCCTTAGGATGCAGGTCATTGCTGCGCCCGAAAAGAGAAATTCTAAAACGGTTCCCTGCCCTCCGCTTCGGCTGGGGGCGGCAACCGGGGCGCGGCGGTAGCGTGCCTGTGAGTGCACAATTAAAGCTTAGAATCAGGGTTAGTGTATAGTAGGATGCATGTCATTGAGTCCTTAGGATGCAGGTCATCGCTGCGCCCGAAAAGGGAAATTCTAAAACGGTTCCCCGCCCTCCGCTTCGGCTGGGGGTGGCAACCGGGGCGCGGCGGTAGCGTGCCTGTGAGTGCAAAATTAAGGTTTAGAAGCAGGGTTAGTGTGTAGGATGCAGGTCATTGAGTCCTTAGGATGCAGGTCATTGCTGCGCCCGAAAAGAGAAATTCTAAAGCGGTTCCCTGCCCTCCGCTTCGGCTGGGGGTGGCAACCGGGGCGCGGCGGTAGCGTGCCTGTGAGTGCAAAATTAGAAGCAGGGTTAGTGTGTAGGATGCAGGTCATTGAGTCCTTAGGATGCAGGTCATTGCTGCGCCCGAAAAGAGAAATTCTAAAACGGTTCCCCGCCCTTCGCTTCGGCTCGGGGTGGCAACCGGGGCGCGGCAGTCGCGTGCATGTGCGTGCAGGTAAAGCTTTTTTAATGAGGGTTACTGTTTCGGAGGCCGGCCATCGAGTTTAGGCTCAAGTCACCATGATGTAGTAGTATTCCAGCACATCTACTCCTGCAACGCTGCGCCTGAAAAACAAACAATCTGAGACTGTTTTCGCCCTTCGCTTCGGCTGGGGGTAGCAGCTGGGCACGGCCGAAAAGTGCGCGCGAATGCACGGCTAAGGCTTAAAATAAACTTAGGGTCATCGAGTCCGATTATTCAATGCATGTGACGGAAAGGCTAGACTTTGGGGATGAGGGTTTCGAGTGGCAGATGCAGGCTGTGGAGTCTCAGATTGTGGGATGTTACTAAAGATGTAGCTGCTTAATCATGAACTAAACTTTGCTTCACAATCACAAGCCCCAGCTTCTAAATAGACCCTATTTTGCTCAGCCACGGGGGGGGGGGGGGGGGGAGGGGCGGATATCCCCTCTTATAAAGATTACTAGAATATACGAATATACGAATATACTAATCTACTGATATACTAATATACTAATATACTATATACCAATATACTAATATACTACTATACTACTATGCTTCTATACTCATATACTCATATGCTAGTATACTATTATATCGGCCCAT